GGAGGCAGTGAGCGTGGTCTCCTCATGGCTGCTGCTGTGTTGCAATATTTTCGGGGAGGGCTTATTTACCACATGCACTCAAAAACCCAATTGGGCTTATTATCTGGGGAGGTCTTATTTTCGGGAAACAGGGTAGTGATAGGCAAATCTGTATCAAACATGAGGGAATAAGCTCCTTTCTTTCCCAGAAAAATTGACAAAGCATTTTCCAACCCAATCCAAGATCAAATTTGAGTTCTCCCTAAACTTGACCATTTGGAGAATTCAACAACAGAGTAGGAATATTTGCCTTCTTACCCTGGAATTGGCTTCTTTCCACTGAGTGATCCAGTTCTGCCAATGATCAATGACCATCACGCAACTGTGGTCTATTCAAAGCAGAAATCAAGAACAGACACACATCTTCCACCCAGCCCTTTTCATCTCTTTCTCTTTCAGAAATAAGGTCTTGGTGATTGCTATTGTGTTCCAGATCTGTGTGGGCTGCTTCCTCTGTTATTGCCCTGGGATGCCCAATATCTTCAATTTTATGCCCATACGGTAAGAACTTCCATCCATTGGTATTCTAACATGACAAAACCACGTCTCAAAAGTTCTCACGAAGACATGCTACAGGGCACAGTTAGTTAGAAAAGCCCACAGCCACCTCTGAACGTGTCTCCCCAAAACCTCAGATGCATGATTTTGTGTAGTTTGTTTTGTGTTGCTTTGTGGTTTACAAGAGATGGCTTTCAATGCTATACCGTATCCGTATAAGAATCCTAGCAACTCTGGCAAACGTGAATAAGCAAGCCAACGTTCTCTTCCCACATTCTTGCTTCTCTCTTTCCAGTATAGGATATTACTACACACTAAGCATGCCTATAAATCTCAGCTCTCTGGACACTTTAAACCTTTATTCAGGAATTAGCTAACTCAGCAAAAAAAATCCCACAAAAAACACAAAAATCTCGACTAATCACACACAAAAAACCAAAAGATGAAGCATAGAGATATAGATTTGTCCACTGCAGTACACAAACATCAATAACTGTATTTATATATTGGATTTGCAATCTACTCTTTATAACAGGAGCTCAAGGCAGGCTCTAGTTCTAATTCCTCCAATTATTTTCCCCAAACAATAATCCTGTGAGGTAGGTAAGGTTGAGAAGGGGTGGGGTGAGGGGAGCCCAAAGTATAGAAGGAAGCTTCTATAGCTGAAGGTTGATTAGAATTTGGGTCTCCCCATTTCTGGTCCAACACCTTTACCACTGTATTTCACTGGTTTAAAACCTAGTTATTTTGCCTCTCTTTCACAAACCATTTCTTGTTTCTTTAGGAAACCCCACCTCATATCTTAGAAATCCTTACTCAACTTGCTCTAACATGTATTTTCCTCTAGCTGCACTTCCATTGTCTATTGTTTCTCCTATCCCATCAAACATTTAGATATCAAATTCAGCAAAGCAAGAGTAGCTCATTTACACATCACCTTATAACAACAGTAAGTACAGACACAGGGAAAGACAATGAGGAGTTAAAGAGCTAGAAGGCTACAGCTTAATCCTCCGGATCCAATTCCCCACTTTAGCTAAGTGGGAAAAAGCAAGTTCCCTCAGAAGGGGGAACTTCCTGCAGCTCAGCTCAGCACCAAGGACAGCAGTCACTACAGCCCTACATTGCAACTGTCCCCCTTTTTCCTGGGACCCAGCAGGAGAAAGCAGAGATCACAAACTGGAAAACAAAGCTTTGGGGCCGTATTTGTGTTGCAGAACAATGCTCAGTTCCTGTCTCCTTCAAGCCACTTCACTCAAAGATGAGATTCAGCTCAATGGGCTAACTTTTGAAGTTGTTAAGCTTAACTTTGTCCATTCTTTTGTACCCCCCCACCCGTCCAGATTCCAGTGGTGGTTAGTGCCTCTACCATTTGGCCTTCTCATCTTTGTGTATGACGAAATCCGAAAATTGGGAGTCCGGAGACACCCTGGAAGTAAGTTACGAGAATGGGTAAGGAGAGGAGGATAACCTGGCATTCCCCAGCTATTTATTTATAGGGGGGGGGAATTTCCGGACCAAATGTAATTTCTAATGTTGGATTTTCCCCCTTACTAGAGGGAGCCCCCTGGTGGANTCCTTCCTTCCTTCCTTCCTTCCTTCCTTCCTTCTTTGCACATCCTTTTTTCTTCTTGTTGATGCCAATCACGATGAAAGGTGTCAAACAGAAAGCACTTAACCCATCATCTCAGAATCAGAAATCTGCCTCCAACCTTTTCTGGCTCTTGCTTATGATCACTGCAGGTTCTTTTGCCTAAACGCAATAGATAGACAGGATGTTCTTGGATTAACCTACTTTTCTCATACAATAATTGGGCCCATTTGGAACAGGATACACTTCACTCAGCTGCTGTTCTTAATTATTTCAACTGAATTAAGTAGATGACGGTTCTTTTAAGTCTGGGATGTTTAGTACTGTATTTGTTCCCCTGTGTTGGGATGGCTGGGAGTGAGATTTAGCAGCTAACATTGCATCCATAGATGCCTGGTACTCGTTATTATTTCCTGCCCTCTTTTCACCTACAATTATGTGCGAAATATATTTATGGTTTAGCCAAGAAAGCGTTACATTTCATACATGTGAGGAACTCGGTTTCAGAACATAAAATGCTTCTGTCACAGGGTCTCTGCTGGCTGTTGAGGTGACCTGAAACGCTTTGCTGTAATTTATGCAAGATATGCTTATGCTTCATAAAAACTGATTTTTTTTCCCCTTGGGATCATGAAAAGGGTGTTGGTTGAAAAGGTAGGTTTGAAATATGCTTTCTTTCATATGCTGGTCAGAATTCTAAACTACTTCACTACTGCAGTCAGCAAGAGCAAGTTCAAGTGGTCCTTTTTTTTTTTCCAAGAAGGGAATTAAATATAATTTGAAATCAAAAACGAGCTGGGGTGGAGCGTTTGGGTTATATCTCAGTCAAGTTGCTCATTCCTTTGCTTGCTGCTGCTTCTTTTTACTTCCAGATCAGTGACTCAGCATGCAGCATATTTAAGTTTAAGAAGTATTAATTATGCAAAACAGAAGAAAGTCTCTCTCTCCTCACCTGTATTTATGCAGGCTGAAAATAAGTAACCTTTGATTTATGCAATGGCACAAATGCACAGAGAGATCAATAATTTTCATCCTCTCTTTGGTCAGACTGGATTGAAACTGGAGTCAGAGGAGAGGAGCCCAGAGGCGTGACTTCAGCTTCAACCCAGTCTCAAGGCCAATTGGCTGTGAGAATGCCATCACTGGACCATCCTGCAAACACCTCTTAAAATAACAGTTCAGGTAAGACCAAGAGAGTGATGATATCATCGCATAGATATTGTTGACAAGACTTTGTTCTTTCAGATGCCCACAAACTAGGGGAGAAATTGCTTGAAGACTAACAAGTTGATTTCTAGTTACTCCAGTAGGTGTTATTCGAACTGGATCAGACTCCAGATATTGAGTTGAGGTGCAGCACAAGCATAGACTTCCCTAATCTGGGATCATTAGTGCCTGTCTTGCAGAGGGGTGTCACATCTCACGCTTTACAATAGAGAGAGAAAAACGTAGTGTTGTCTCTTACAGGAGGAACAGAAATGTGTTGAGAGTTTTGAACTGGAGCATTATGATCGATGCCAAGATTTGCGAGCCCTCCTGAAACGGAAAAACAGATTCATTTTAATCCGTTCTCCAGGATGCAAGGTAAGAAGTCCTTTCTGTTCTGTATAAAACTCCTTCCCATTCCATTCTCCTGCCTGCCTGCCTACTTCCTTCCCATCTCCTTCCTTCCTTCCTTCCTTCCTTCCTTCCAACCTTCTTCCTTCCTTCCTTCCTTCCTTCCTTCCTTCCTTCCTTCCTTCCTTCCTTCCTTCCTTCCCATCTCCTTCCTTC